AAAGAACCAAGAAGATGAATCCCTGCAGTCACGAAAGCTTTAAATCGAAATTTAACCACCGTTGACTTATACATATTTTTTTATATACCAAAATTGTACCTATTTTATCGACCGTGTAGGTATGATGGGCTGAGCCGACGTCCCAGCGGCGATATTTAACTCGCGACCTTCTGATTGCAGAAGTCGACCTCGGGCTGGCCGTGTTTGCCAGCGCGGTGCGCGAACCACCACCCGTGGTCCCACAAGAAGCCCCTTCGTCCGGGCAGTACCAGGGCAAACCATCGCCTCACCTGGCCGAGGCCCGGCCACGTACAGCAGCGGCATTCCTTCAGCACAATGTCCTTTCGACAGCAACCCCCCCCTCCCCCCAAGGGGCATTTCTTAATTTAGACCCACGACGACGAGAGCCGTCGTGTCCGCAGCAAGACACGGGGCGCCCTTTTGCATCGAGAGTAGTACGGAGTAAGACTGATGGCCTTAATCTAAGTTGTCTTGTGGTTGTTGTTGTTGTTTGACTTGCATCCCACTGGGATTTTTGCACACAGCGTTGGTGTACGGTGCTTTTTTATACAATATTTTGCTGTCTTTTCTTGCATTTTCTGTTTGCGCTTAGTCACATATTCACTTTAAGATGTTTTCTTGTTCATGTTTTTGTTTTTTGTTTGTTGCAGTTGCACCCGATTCAAGAGCCGAAGGGCTCACAGGGCTATACCTAATAAATGAACTTGACCTTGAGAGAGAAAGGGCAAGTGCGAGTTCCCATACACGTGGTGTCACAGGCGACGGTAGTGCCGCCCCAGTGGGTGGTGCGTGTTGATGGTCGGCACGCTGTGGACTTGCGATACAATAAGAGGTCGCCGGATCGATTTCAACCCGTCTCATCTCCCCGGCGCGGCAGTTAAAAACAGCGCAGCAAAATTCTAAACATCAACAAAAAATGATAAATCACCAACCATCGGTATAAAATAATGCATCGTTCCAAAGTAGATTTTGTTTATCCGAATGATAATCAAAGAGACGAGGATCGTCATCTCGTGTACGAGTAACATCGTGGCATCAGTCCGCCGGCACGGGGCGACGATCGTTGCTAACTAACCTCGCGTGAGTAACTCGCAGCGTCACTTTCAAACTTTTGCCAAATTTGGAGCCCCACGCCGGCACACGATGGCGAATGACGTCACGGTACACGTGCAGCTTGCCCGGTACGCCGCTCACATTCGCGAACGCACCCCGGATTGTCCTTAAATCCTTCACCATCCCTCCCCTCTCCTACCCTCACCCCCTCTCCCTCTCCCTATCATCACCCTCCCTGACCATCCTCCTCCCCCTTCCCTCTCCTAACCTCACCCCTCTCCCTCTCCCTATCATCACCCTTCCTTGCCATCTTTTCCCCTCCCTAACACTCAAACTCCATCCATTTTCCACATCGGCCAATCATAACGTACCATTTATAATTATTGTAAAGCGCGTTGACGAAAGCGCTCTCTAAGATCCTAGATAAGATTATAAGACGCTCCGGAAAGGAAGACGCACCCCCCCCTCCCCCCCAAAAAAATACTTGAACCCGGTGTCAATGAAGTTTTACAAAATCTGGTCGCAAAAATACAAAGATCCCCCGGGTAGTCTACACATAATTTCCGGGCAAGTGCTGTTAGCGAGCACCTATGAAGGCAGGCACGGCACACGAGGGGGTGGGTGGCCAGCACCACGCCCGGCCGCCTTTGTCTCCCTGGTGGCGATGTTTACCCACCGTACCAGGTACTCGAGGCCGAGTCGACCTAGGGGAGGCCCAAGACTAGTTCAGATAATCGTCGTAGTGCAGCGCGTTAATCGTTACACTCCAGATATCTATCACAAACACTCACATATCCACACACCCACACATTCAAACACCCACACATTCAAACGCCCACCCATTCACACGCCCACACATCCACACGCCCATACATCCACACACCCACACATCCACGCACCCACACACAAACATCCACACACCCACACCCCTACACATACACACCCACATACACCCACACGGTCAAACTCGAAGCATCCAACGAATGTTGCCGCCCTCTCCCTTTAATGCGCGGTATGAATCACAGACAAGGGGCAGTCGAACCACATTGTCGAAGAGACAAACAAAGGCTATTGTTCCCGTCTTGTTCCCGTCACGGTGCCACGCAGTGACGTGATGAGCGCAAGGGGGGTGCCTTAGCCCCCCCTCTCTGTGGCCAAAGCTACAAGTTGGGGCCCCCTAGGCAAGACCATGAGAGACGTTTGCAGCAATATTGGGGCCCCACCTGCACAAATGTCCGCACGCACCCCCCTCCCCCTAAGCCGGCAATGTAGTTACGACGCCTTCGATGGCACACTTATCCTAACAGCCACAACAACACGACGCACTGATGTTTCATCAAAAAATATAAATGCCGGCAATGAAGCAATACAAAATAGCTGAATAATAAATACACATACGGCAAAAAATACACATGTTATTTGAGTTTGTTGCAAAGTCACTCCTTATAATAATAATAAAAAAACACGCCCCGTTGATCAGCTGCGACGATTCGAAACGGCCGAGGGCTCGCGGCCAGCATCAGCTGTTCCATTGACCCGACCTCTGTTCGAAGGTCAAAGTTCGCGGACGCATCACTGCACGCTCAGCACCGCCGCGGTCGTTCGCGCACGTTGTCCGACGTTTTTGTCACCCCCCCCCCGACGCGTGCTTATTTTGTACACGCGTGACTTACATGCTGGCTGTGCACGTTTCAATCGGCACCCTGGAGTCGTCTTGATTTCATGAACGGAATTATATTCACTTTGTACACTTTCTGTATCATCATCATCATCAATCAGCCATGATCTATCCACCGATGGATGAACGACTACCAAAAACCACCACTGCCACCTCTCAAGATCCGGCAATGCAACAGAGAAATTCCATCCATGAATCGGCTCCATCTCCCTCCGGCGGACGTCCCCTCTCTCTCTCTCTCGGACGCCTTCCGCTCTATCGCATGTCAATGTGTCAATAAACAATTGCAACACTGAGTGACAAATTCAGCTCCCAGGAGAGGCTCCCAGGCGCGTGGGAGCTAAAACGTCGGACAGCGTCGCGAGCAAGGCGAAGGTGAGCCCACAACTCGAGCGCCGCACAGGCGGCGAGCGATGTTGCACTCCGTCATGCCACCACACCACACCACAACCACGCCACAACCACTCCACAACCACACCACTGACACCACAACCACACCACAACCACACCACAACCACGCCACTGCCACACCACAACCACCCCACAACCACGCCACAGCCACACCACAACCACACCACAACCAGACCACAACCAGACCACAACCACTCCACAAGCACACCACAACCACACCACAACCAGACCACAACCAGACCACAACCACACCACAACCACACCACAACCACACCACAACCACACCACAACCACTCCACAACCACACCACAACCACTCCACAAGCACACCACAACCACACCACAACTAGACCACAACCAGACCACAACCAGACCACAACCACACCACAACCACACCACAACCACACCACAACCACTCCACAACCACACCACAACCACACCACAACCACTCCACAACCACACCACAACCACACCACAACCACTCCCACACCACAACCACACCACAACCACTCCACAACCACACCACAACCACACCACTGACACACCACAACCACACCACAACCACACCACAACCACACCACAACCACACCACAACCACTCCACAACCACACCACAACCACACCACAACCACTCCACAACCATACCACAACCACACCACTGACACACCACAACCACACCACAACCACACCACAACCACACCACAACCACACCACAAGCACACCACTAACACACCACAACCACACCACAACTACACCACAACCACACCACAACCACACCACAACCACTCCACAACCACACCACAACCACACCACAACCACACCACTGACACACCACAACCACACCACAACCACTCCACTGCCACTCCACCGCAGACGTTCTCGGCGGCGTAGTGGTCCTGATGGTGACATTCGTCAGATCACGGAGACCATTGCAGGCTAACAGGCTTATATATCGTACGTAAGAGCAGCCACCCTTCCACCAACACTGCATAGATATTAGTAAATATAGAATACTTTGTGTGCGCGCGCGCGCGTTAATATTGAAATTTACCGCTTACATATCGTGCCCATGATAAATTATTGTTAGTCTCAATTATACCGTCTCGTTTGTATTGTCTCATTTATATTGTCTCTCGTTTGTATTGTCTGTCTCGTTTCTATTGTCTCGTTTCTATTGTCTGTCTCGTTTCCATTGTCTCGTTTCTATTGTCTGTCTCGTTGCTATTGTCTCGTTTCTATTGTCTCGTTTCTATTGTCTGTCTCGTTTCCATTGTCTCGTTTCTATTGTCTGTCTCGTTGCTATTGTCTCGTTTCTATTGTCTCGTTTCTATTGTCTTTCTCGTTTGTATTGTTTAGTTTGTTTTGTCTGTCTTGTTTGCATTGTCCGTCTCGTTTGTATTGTCCGTCTCGTCTGTTCTGTCTCATTCTTTGATCTGTCACATTCTCCAGGTGTGAATATAAACAAACTTCTTCTTCACAGCACAAGAGGCATTCCGCGAAGCGTCACCCCTCGCACGTCTCTCCCTTCTCGGGCCACGGTTCTCGTCGGTGACGATTCACTTGTGACACTTTTATTTTTGTTGATTGTGCTCGTGCACGACTGCCAATGCCGTGTAGCCAAATAAAGTTATATTCCGTGGATTTCATTTATTAGTTAAATAGTGCCGACTAAGTGAACGGTGTCCAGTGTTCACGAGGTCACCATGTTTGGTTTGCGTCCGAGGCGTTCCTAGCCCAGTCGAGGACAAGCGGAGGAAGTTTATGGAGCGCTCACGGCCCGATTGAAGCAACTCGCGTGGCGACCGGACCCTGCGTCGTAGAGCGGGGGGGGGGGGGGGGGGGGGGTGGGGGGGGGGGTCCTTGCCCGACACATCGGCAGCTCACCGACGTCGAGTCGAGCAAGGCTGACTCTGCCGATGAGAACACAGTTTGTTGAAACTGGCCCGGCGCTTTGCTCGTCTCGAATCCATGCTGCTGAGATGATGCCCTCCCAGAAGGAAGGCCGTGCCTGCGGCTGACGGGTGGCTGAGAAAGCACTTTGCTGTTTCACGCTGAGACACGGATTGCACGACGGAGGCATATACATTGTCCGCTCGTCTGTCTCCTTATTTATATTCTCATTTAAAGACTCTGTAAATGATAATTCGGGGGTCACTAACCTCGGCCGAACCGGGCGTCAACACGGCAGGAAGAACCGCCGTGACATTTGGGACAGCGGTTTGCGCCACCGAAACCGCCATCGGTCACCGCTCTGTATCTGCCATGTCAAATGCCGTCAAGGGAAATAAATCTCGACTCAATTTGGGAGTTTTTTTTGTGTTGCTGTTGCTGCTGCTGCTAAAGGTTAGGTCAATAAACAGCTGTGGCTTTGCACGCGTTTGCATAATTTGCCAGCAGCCCATGATGAGAGCCAGGCGGGAAGTGTTGCCGCAGTAAGCTGTGATTTATTTTGTTTTTACGACTGGAGCTGCCGTGACGGAACGGTTTGCGCACCGAACGTGTGAATCAAACACGTCGCCGCTTCGAATTCGACCAACCCGCACCGACCGGCGTGGCGAAGTATGGTCAAACGACTCCCGTGACCGACGCGGCTCGAGGGAGGCCCTCATCCAGCAGCGGATTGACCGAGGGCTGTAAACCATGACGGCGATCTGCGTCTGAACGCCGTCCCCGAGGTGACGGATGCTGCCGTGGCCGTGACGCCTGCACCGTGGAAGTTGGCGCGAGGGTGGAAAGTCTCTCAAATCCACCCCACCGCCTCCGTCTACACACCAGTGGGGCACGCCGCAGTCTGTCGATCGGCAGGTCACATGGAAGAGGATATCACAGAGCCACAACTGAGGTCTCTTCAAGTTACACTCTGGTGCACGTGAACAGCAGAGGGCGGCACGCTGCCCACTCGCTCTGCCGCTTGAGAGTGTTGTTCGTAGCGTGACAGCCAAATCGATATTTTAATTCTCAGAGCTGGAATTTAGCCGAATCAAGTGCGGGACAAAATTAAACGTGATTATTTGTTTTCTCTCTCTTGGGACACTCAATACCGACATGTCCCGTGCACTGTACTGGGTTCTACTGTATTCTGATGATACGCAACTCCTGAATATTTGTCTCCGAAGATACCCAATGTCCCGGTTTGTCCAGGACGCAATGTCTGTCCCTGTGACTCCCAGAAGCATTTGTCAAAGTCAAGATTTTGACCCCTCGCGTCAAATTGTTCTGCCCATCTCATGGTACAAGGCGAGCCTACCTGAGTAGTGGGCGGGGCTACCCGAGTAGTGGGCGGGGCTACCCGAGTAGTGGGCGGGGCTACCCGAGTAGTGGGCGGGGCTATCTAAGTAGTGGGCGGGGCTACCCGAGTAGTGGGCGGGGCTACCCGAGTAGTGGGCGGGGCTACCAGAGCAGTGGGCGGGGCTACCCGAGTAGTGGGCGGGGCTACCTGAGTAGTGGGCGGGGCTACCCGAGTAGTGGGCGGGGCTATCTAAGTAGTGGGCGGGGCTACCCGAGTAGTGGGCGTGACTATGTAAAAGTAGGCGGGGCTGAACGTGATTCAGGCTGCAAGCTCAGCCGGTTGGCCCGGTTGAGCTTCCCAGAAACGTGGTAGGTTTACACAGCAAGAGATGAATCGGGACGGTGAGCTCACCCCGAAGCTCTTCCTAACACTGTAGGTCCTCATACTCGTTAGCTACGCTACTGGAGGCTGCCTGCACTCAACGCCTCAGACAGATTCCCCCCATTCTGGTCGCCACCTGTCCTGGTCTTCCCAAGATCGCCGTCTTGTTGAGGAGGCAGCTTGCTCTGTGGGGACATCTGTCCGTCTTCCCAGGACATGAACAAACCTGGTTCTTGTCAGCTGCCAAATAATAGTAACAATAATCATATTTCTGTCCCCCTCCCCGGAAACCATCGGCGCGTTGTACCGGCCTTGCGTGCTTACCACGATAAAGAAAACCCCGATAATAAGAATGATAATGCACCACTCAGATCAATGGAATCACCTGGGGCCCTCCCTCCCCCCTCCCCACTTCTGGACCTCTGAGATATTCCTCCTCCATCTTCTGCTGTTTCCCATGATGACGATGTCGACGACGACGACGCGTCCACGCGTCCCTCTCGCACCGCTCACCCCTACACCGTCCACCCCTCCTCGCCCAGCAATGCTGTCGCCTGCTTCCACATCTCCTGCATGGCGGCCACGCGCTTCTTGTCGTTGATGTGGTACACCTGCATCTGAGGCGCGGGAACAGAAACACACGAGCGCTGAAACTCTTGACACCCCGGAGGGCACGGACGCAGCCACGCTCTGACATATCGAAATAGGCCTATCTCAAAGCGCTGTGATGCACGTACAAATAACAACTACACTCACAAGTGAGGATACAAACCCAATAACATCTGATGATAATAATAACAACAATGACAACTTACAATTGTTGTGGTAAAAACATGAAATGTAATTTGCTATTCGTGTGACGAGGACAGCTTGATTTGACCGCCTCTATCGCCGGGTGGTGGAGGGTTCTGGTTAAACGCTGCCACTGGACAGAATCAGAATATTTATTTACGCTGGGGGAATCCGATGAGCTATGAAGCTCCTTTTCACACATGTCCAGTATTGGTTGGGCACTGCCCCACGACGATCGGCACGTGTGTGTGTGTGTGCGCGTGTGTATGTGCGCGTGTGTGTGTGCGCGTGTGTGTGCGCGCGTGTGTGTGTGCGTGTGTGTGTGCCTGCGTGTGTGTGTGCGTGCGCGTGTGTGTTTGCGTGTGTGCGCGCGTGTATGTCGAACCTCTTTCGCACCGTACATAGCCAACCGTGCTGACCAGAGGTGGATCTCACCCAAACGAAACTTCCATCCCAACTAAGTCCCGTCAACAAAGTTCGACAAAGCAGGTGGGGGGCACGGCAATGGCGTGCGGCCACACGTACCAGATTGAGCATCACGTCGAAGTATCCCTGCCGCCAGTACTGCCCCTGGGGGTCGGGCAGCTGGACGAGCAGCTGCAGGAAGGCGTCCACGCGGTGTCCGTCCCGCGGGAGGATCTGCGTGGCGTGCACCACGAGGCAGCGCTCGGGGAGGTCGGCAAAGTCCTCCAGGTGGCCGTAGAGTTGGCGGAACTCGAGCGAGGCGGCGGCCGCGGGCGACGCGACGGAGGACGAGGAGCAGGAGGAGGAGGCGGAGGAGGACGGCGGAGAGGACGGTGCCGGAGAGGACGATGATGGCGGCGGGGGGGGCACGGGGGGTCGCCCGACGTCGCCGAAGAGGTTGCGGTCCGGCAGGAAGTAGTGGGGCAGGCGGCGCAGCCATACGCAGCGCAGCAGCACGAGCAGCAGGCGGTAGACGGAGGAGTGCAGCTGGAGCCAGTCGTCCGGCGACGGGAAGAAGTCGAGCGCCCACAGCAGCGCCGTCTGCGCGACGTGCACGGAAACACGCCCGTCGGCAATCAACAACAACAATAACAACAACAACAACCGCCTGCGACTACAACAAAAAACAACAATAAGCAACAACTCACGATAACGACAACAACCAACAACAACCGACAACACGAACCAACCACAATAACCACAACAACAAGCAACAACTCCAACAACCAACTGTAACAACACCAACAACTACAATCAACAACCATAAAACAACAACAACCAACAACTACAACAACCGACAACTGCAACAACAAAAACCAACTACAATAACCACAACGACAACTACAACAACTACAACAACTGTGATACCACAGCATTGAAGCCACTCCTCGCGCCCCCTGACCTCCGACAGCCCCCCACCCCAGCCCCCCCGCCCCCCACGATGGAACACACCGACACACACACACCGACACACACACACCGACACACACACACCGACACACACACACCGACACACACACACACGTCGCCTCCTCATTGCGAGCACCCCGGTCTAGCGGGCCACTTTCACTCAGAGGATTCGTCCCGAGGGCCGCCCCAGCGGGTGCCCGACGCCGCGAATTTGGCTCTACCCCACAGGGCGCAGTCACAGCGGCCCCTCTGAGTTGGCCTAGTAGTTGTAGAGGCACATCAACAACAACAACACATTTTAGATTTGAAGCTTTCGTGACTGCAAGGATTCATATTCTTAGGTTTTTTCGGTAAAGTCACGTAGGTAAAAAATTCAAATTAATAAAAGTAAAATAAAAAATAAAATACAAATCACGACGTTTCGGAGGCAACACAAGCTTCAACAACAACACACATTCTTCTTACTGCGTCAGCTGCGACGAGTCGTGCTCTCCCAGAGTCCACCGTCAGGGTGGGCCAGAGTTCGGGGGGGGGGGGGGGCAGATCAAAGGCGACCGCGGCCCGCGGGAGAGGAAAAGTCCCCTGGGGGTATGGCCACAGGCAGACGCACGGATGGCCGCGTGGTATCGCGTGACCCCCCAGGTGCTTCGAGGTTGTAATCTAAGGCGAGGTCGGGGGAACGAGGGGGCAGGGGGGGAACGAGGGGGCAGGGGGGCACCTCGTGGACGTCGCCCCGCTTGCCTCGTCGCCTCTCGCAGCGTCTGCGTGACGCCAGTGGAGCTGCAGCTACGGGGGGTGGACGCTTGGGTCGACCGTGTGGGTAGGCAGCCTCGGACGAGGCTTCACCCACAATGCACTCTAGGCTCGTACCCACTTGCTAGATGGATTACTTAGAAGTTTCGGCACGCCGGGCTCGCGGTCGGGCCACCCGGGCGTCCCCCCCCCCCCGGACGAGTCGGATATGGAGCCCCACACAACCAACAACTGCAACAACCACCGACTACAACAACAACCACAACACCACCGCCACCACCACGAGGTGTCTCTCGGCAGGCAGCAGGCGCCTGGTGAGTGCGGAGGGGGCTTGGCGCTCACCTCGAGGTGAGCGAAGGTGAGCATGCTGCCCCCCGCGTCCCTGCGGCGCCAGTGGTTGCGGTTGACGAGGTCGAGGATGGCGAGGGCGTCCAGGCGGTGGCCCCCGTCGTCGTCCACCCCCTCCAGCAGCTTGCAGGTCGTCTCGCGGAAGTCGGGGCTGCGCAGCAGCAGTAGTAGTAGCAGTAGCAGCAGCAGTAGTAGGAGTAGCAGTAGTAGCAGCAGTAGTACCAGTAGTAGTGGTAGTAGTAGCAGTAGTAGCAGCAGTAGTAGGAGTGGCAGTAGTAGTAGCAGCGGTAGTAGTAGTAGTAGCAGCAGTAGTAGTAGCAGTAGTAGCAGCAGTAGTAGGAGTAGCAGTAGCAGCAGTAGCAGCAGTCGTATCAGTAGTAGGAGTAGCAGTAGTAATAGCAGCAGTAGTAGTAGCAGTAGCAGCAATAGTAGCAGCAGCAATAGGAGCAGCAGCAATAGTAACAGCAGTAGTAGTAGCAGCAGCAGTAGTAGCAGCAGTAGCAGCAGTAGTATCAGCAGCAGCGCATCAGCAGAAGCAGTAAGAGCAGGTAAAACTACGACTCGTCATCATCGTCACCGCTTGATAGTCTCACTGCGCTGTGGCACTCCAGGCGAGGGGACCCCCGAGTGGCAGCTGTCCTGTGTGGCGCAAGGGCCAATTGATCCCGGCCAGAGAGTTTGAGTCGTGGCCACGGCGGTTGTGTTTCTGATGCTCGGCCACAAACAGCTCTGGCTCCAATGACGCCCTGGCCGCATTTAACTCACACGACAGCCACCACCGTGGCTGCTGGAGGTTGCCACCTTTTGCACTGCAGATCGAACACGAGGTCTGTCATCAACTCTGCGCTGTTGAATTCAACAGGCCGGTACCAGATCTCGGCACAAAATCAACTCCTGGTAGCAGCCGAACGCAAATGCCAATTCCTGGACTGGTGGCAATCCTGGTTGGTGGGTGAGTGGGCGAATCAGTGAGTGGGTGAGTGAGTGGGTGAGTGGGTGAGTAGGCAAATGAGTGAGTGAGTGTGTGAGTAGGTGAGTGAGTCGGTGAGTGGGTGAGTAGGTGAGTAAGTGAGTGGGTGAGTAGGTGAGTGAGTGGGTGGGTGAGTGAGTAGGTGAGTGAGTCGTTGAGTGAGTGGATGAGTGAGGGGGTGAGTGGATGAGTGAGTGAGCAAGTGATGAGATGAGTGAAATCAATGAGTGCCAACTGTCCGAATCACAAACAACTGGATAGGTGGCCACCCCTCGTGGCTGCGCGCCCACGAACCTCCAGTGGTAGTACGCGTGGGCCTCCACGTCCTGCGGCGTGCTGCGTATCTCCTCGACGGTGGCCCGGGGAAGCCAGCTATCGGGGCCCAGCGCCGGCCACGGCGCCTCCTCGTCGGGGCCGCCGCCGCTCCAGAGGCGCGCGGCGCGGTGGATGACGGGCACGAGGGCCACGGTGATGGTGCGCATGCCGCTCCGCACGAGCAGGCACAGCGAGGGCCCGTCCAGGTCCAGCAGAGACGCGTCCACGGCGCCTGGGGGGCACACGTGGTTAGTGTCGTGTAGGCGCTGCGCGATAATGAAAGGGTTTTACAGTTTTCGGGGTTAGATCGCGTAAATTTAAATGCCTCGTTCAACCCGCCACTGCTCCACGCGGCCAATTAGTAAGGCTCGTCGTAAACAGAACGTGCCAATTCGTTACTACTTCAGCGCAGCGTTGCATTGGAGAGTAAACTCACAACATTTACAATTTGAGTGCGACGCTTCGCTGGTGATTGCAACCAGCTTCATCAGGCGATGAGCCCAGTGGCAGCTGTCCCCGTGCGGCACAAAGGCGACGCTGCACCTGGCCCTGCAAGTGCCGATGATTGCTGCTGTGTCAAATCCCAATTGAGTAAACACATTTTTTTTCACTTGGCACACACTGGCCAACTCATTTCGAACGAGTTGGCTTCCAAGGATGCTACCAACTCATTCCTAACGAGTTGCATCATTTCCTGCGCATCGCTTCGCTTGCGGCATGGCCAGCGCCAGGGCCCGCTCACCGCTCGCCGCTCGCCACTCACCGCTCGCCGCTCGCCGCTCGCCGCTCGCCGCTCACCTTTTGCGAGTTTGCCGTCCTGCTGCAGCAGCATGATGGCCTTCCTCACGTTCGACTTGAGGATGTCGATAACCATGCCGGGCAGCAGGTGGGTCGAGCCGGAGCTCACCCTCCGCACGGCCTCCTGGCAGCTCGCCCAGCTGGCCTGTCCCGTGACGCCGTTCTCCGCTCCACCGCCACCGCCGCCGCCGCCATCATCCAGCGCCACGTAGCACTGCGACTTCCCGGAGGGCTCGGAGTGCAGCCAGTGCAGCTGCGTCACGTAGCGGTCCTCCGGCGGGCACGTCCACTCCACGGAGACGGAGTGCGGCTCGAGCGCGAGCGGCACGCGGATCGTGGTGTGAGTGGGCGCGGCGCGCACGCCGGACTCGAACTTGGCGTGCGGGCGCCGGTAGTTGACGAGGAAGCGCGGGTCCCACTCCGTCACCTGCTCCAGCACCTGCACACAGGCAAGCGTCGCAGCTTAGGCTCAGGGTGAGCACTTGAGAGACCACGATAGAGAGACGTGTTTGCAACAGTGATCTGCGGCCATTGCTGATGGGTCATCACCGTCATCATAGCCCCGCAGGTGTCCACTGCATATCTCGTCATTTGTTTTCACTTTGCTCCTCTGTCTTGTGGTGCCAATGTGGCTCAAGTAGTGGCCGCATCTTTGTGGCACCAATCTCTAATGTCATCGTCAAGCCAATCACTGTTCGGTCTTCCTCTCTCTCTCCTGTTCCTGCCATTTTCCCGAACAACAACACATTTTTTTCTATTTCCCCTCGTTGTCCATCCTACAGACGTGTCCAAATAGTGCCAGATTCCTTCTCATCACCGCCTGCATCATCGGGTTGTCTTCTTCTACGTGCAAACTGTTGTTGCTGTTGTTGTTGCACTGCGTGTCGTCCCGAAGTTGCAAATAAATATAATCCCAAAATGATCATCACAATGAGGCGTAGCCAGGAACGAGGCTCAGCACTCCCCGCCGCCCCCGTCTGGGGTAGTAAACAAGAGGAGTGCCACGGCCGTGGCACTCCCGCGTGACTAAAGCAGTGGAGGCTGCGGTGCGTGCGGCACGCTTGGGTGGCACGATCGCCTCCTGGTTCGGCGGAGTTGTGATTCCCTCCGTGGGTGGCGCAATGCACTCGATTCCAGGTGCATTGCTCATCCAGTGACGTGATGCTCATTGAGTGACGGTTGCCATGGCGAAGATCTTGTAATAAAGCCTCCGCATGTTGTTGGTTCGAAGGCGTCGGTTCGATTTGGCCGCTTCGATCTCCTGGCGCGGCAGTTGAAAGACGTTTCTCAAATCGCCCACCAACCTCCTCTGTCTACGCAGCATTGTAAACATGTTTTAAGATGTAAACATGTAAACATGTTTTAAGATGATTTTGTTGAACTGGCTGAAAACTCAAGACATCCAGGATGGAGTCTCATTGTCGGCAAGAGTATCCTGGGGGTATTATGAGTCGATTACTGTTTAAAAAACTTTTGTTTATTTTAACAGATAAGGCCCACTGAGCTATACGGCTCTTTTTCATAAGCGGCCTGGCGATCACAAATGATAACTCGACGAAGTGGCGTATCATCGTGTGGAAATGTAGAGCACTCTAAACGCGTGTTTATAAATGTGGAGGGAAAAACCGGAGGGACCGGAGAAAAATCCACGCGACCACGGTGAGAGAGAGAGAGAGACACGCAAACTCCAAATATCCAGCAGACGTCAGGGTCGGGATCGAACCCACGATCTCCTGTATACCAGGCGAGGTAGTTAACATCTCCTAGCCACCGTGATGATGATGAGAGAGAGAGAGACACGCAAATTCCAAATATCCAGCAGCAGGCGTCAGGGTCGGGATGGAACCCACGACCTCCTGTGTACCAGGCGAGGTAGTTAACATCTCATAGACACTGCGGCACCGGCTGACTGCTGCCAGTAGGCGGGCAATGACTGCTGCTGTGTGCGTGAGATCCCAAATTTGAGTCATTTTCGGGGTAAATTTTCAAATGTGGACCCATGACGCCGGCACACAACGGCATGCTCTTGCGAATGACGTCAGGGGATCTTTAACGTCACCCTGTCAAGCAAGTGGCGCGTAATATGCCGAGGAAGTGCACGGTTGTGCCACAGCGAGGACATCGCCTGGCTGCTGGTCGTGAGTGTGGCTACCGCCTGTGTCGATGATCGGCCGTGGGAGGGTCGGACGTGGCGGTCGCAGCCTCCAGGATTGCGCTCACTGCTCAACCAAAAAGCCTCGGCAGCTTACTCCACCAGCAATATGTCGTTCGATCACCACGTGACAATGCATGCAGTACCATGCGCTTTTTGGCGTCATCTGGTCCAACACCAGGGTGAGACTAGGCTCTAAGAAAAGCTGTCTCGGGTGTGGACCAATCAGTGTCAAGGACAGTGCATACATGATCAGAGTTGTGTTTTTAAATCCTTTATATTAAGTTCGCTTGCTTGCTTAGGACCGTGCAAATCTTTCGGTCGTTTTTTAACCCACTTCCCGTGATCCAATCGAGCTGACATTTTGCACACAGACTCGTGACAATGCTCTAAGAAAAGTTGTCTCGGGTGTGGGCCAGTCAATGTCAAGGACAGTGCATACATTATCAGAGTTGTGTTTTTTGTTTGCATTCCGACCGCAGGTATTGTGGCAAATGCAAACATGACTCCTTGTAAAGAAAGGTGTCAGTTTTGTTGCCAGATAAAATTGGAGAAAAAACAATTATCAATGCATGCAATGTTCATGTCGGGGCCTCTAAGACACGTCTGGCCACTCTTGAGTCATGACGTAGTATCGGCAAGGCTCCATTATTGCAACTCGCAACTCTACCGGGCGTCTGCCACAAAAAAAAAACAAATGACACGCGCAAGCTGCAGCGTGTCCACAATGATCTGGCTCGTGTCGCGACGGGGACTGCGAGATGCGACCCGTTGTCCGCCCAGTGTTCGCCGAGCAGCATTGGTTTTGCGGTTGCACAACGAATACATTGCTACAAGGTCGCACCCATCGCACACAAAGCGATTGCCACAAAGGAACCACAATACCTCGCTGATCTCGTCAAGGAGTTTCAACTCTCACGCGGACTCCGCTCATCATCACAGCGGTTTTTGGCTGCTGGCCATCGAACAAAGACGGCCAACGCATCGCACGGCGCTTTTATGTGCGCTTCTGCGGCCGTCTGGAACGCTCTTCCTTCCGATGTTCGGAAGCCACTGGGAGCTGTGAACTTTTAAATCCAGATTGACGAAATAATTTATTTAGCACTGATTCTTGATGTGCGTTAGTTTGATGTCCTTCTCCCGCACCTCCGATTCGCGCGGTTGGATACGTACGGTGCGAAAGAAGTTCAACGTACACACATACGGAACGGAGTTGGAGATGGAAGTAGTCAGGGCGGGCGGCCGGGAGGCCTCAATAACATTTACAGCGTTCCTCCCTCGCTCTTTGTATTGGGGGTCGTTAGCTGGTAGCTCCAAGCAACAGCTGTCACACTTGTGAAAACACATTTGTGAACATTTTTCATGAATAATGATAAACCCAACTTGGAACGCCGCGCCGCCGTGACCGCGCTGTATCGCTCGCTCTCATGCAGAGAGAGAGGGAGGACGACTCAGAGAGAGGACGACTCAGAGAGAGGACGACTCAGAGAGAGGACTAGGCGAGAGGGCACGACTCATAGACAGAGGACGACTTAGAGTGAGATGACTACTCAGAGAAGGCGACTCAGAGAGAGATAGGACGACTCAAAGAGAGGACTCGGAGAGAGGACTCGGAGAGAGGGCACGACTCAGAGACAGAGGACGACTCAGAGAGAAAGAAGACGACTCAGAGTGAGAGAGGACGACTCAGAGTGAGATGACTACTCAGAGAGGGCGACTCAGAGAGAGAGGATGACTCAGAGAGAGGACTCAGAGACAGAGGACGACTTAGAGAGAAAGAGGACGACTCAGAGTGAGATGACAACTCATAGAGGGCGACTCAGAGAGAGAGGACGACTCTGGGGCGCCAGGCGTAGTACAAGAACAGACGAAGGGGCGGGGAGGCAGCAGCAGCAGCCACGCGGTGGTGAGCGCGGTGCCACCAACAATTGTCCAAGCTCTGCGGTCCTGTCTGTAGACCGGACACTGACGCCAGTCCTGGTTGAGTGAATGAATCAACGAGCAAGGCTCAGCGTGGCAGTAGCGACAGAAGAGTGACAAGAGCGGTCGACCGATCGCCAGTGCGAGCGAGCGAGCCGCTGGAGTGAACCCAGCGAACACCTGGCGTCAACGTTGAATCCCCATCAACGGGCGAAGCTCCCGGGAGAGATCGCGAGCCAAGCGCGGCAGCAGCAGCAGCGTTAGAAGAGCGTCAGGGAAGGCGGCGTAGCTCACCAGGAACACCAGGTCCTCGGCCGCACGCAGCTCGGCCACGCGCTGCTCGTGGTAGATGCGGTTGGCCGAGAGGAACCTCTTGAACCACTCCTCCGACTCGGTGGTAGCGCTCCACATGTCGATGGGGGTGTGGAGGGGGGGGGGTTGTCCCTGAATGTCAGCGCGTTGCCGGGGCGTGCGTGGTGGGTGAGCGAGAGAGGCTGTCGGTCGAGACGGGGCGATCTCTTTGTGTCGGGGAGAGAGAGAGAGAGTGAGAGAGATAATGAGAGCAAGGTAGGACTCGGACGTGTTATACACGAGACGGGCTGCGTGGTCACGCCCGTGTGTGCACACACGCCCGTGTTGCGTGTGTGTGAAGAAGCCCCCGGCGGTGCGAACACACCCACGTGAACACGCAGTGACGGCAAGGGACACGCAATCACACGCACGGCGCTCAAGAGACGACGTTGGGGTCAAGCCGATGAGTGGGTGGTCAGCACCACGCCCGGCCGTCTTTGTCTCTCCAGTGGCGATGTTTACTACACACCATTTGGTGATTTTGAAAACGTTTTGGTTTAGCCATGTTTGTTTGTTGTAGTACAGAGTTAGCCTGATAACTTTAATCTACATTGTCTTATAGTTGTTATTGTTTGACTTGCATCCCACTGGGATTTCTGCACACAGCGTTGAAATGCGGTGCTTTTTCTGGAAGACTTTGCTGTTTTTTCCTGGATTTTGCTGTTGCGTGTAGTCACCTTAAGATGTTTCTTGTTCATGTTCTTGTTTGTTGCGGTCGCACCCGAGTCAAGAGCCACATGGCGCACAGGGTTATACCTCATAAATAAAACTGAAACATCGCACCAGCTAATCATTTGAAGCGGAGTCTACCTAAGCGAGGCCCAGGACCGGTTCAGATTATAATGTTGGCCGTGAGCGGGAATCGAACTCGGGTCGCCGGGTTCGTAGCGCAGCGCGCTAACCGCTACACTACCGCTCCCCACAGCGTACACAGACGTACACACAAAGGCAAAGACCCCCCGTATAGGATTACCAGACTGTAGGGGCAAGTGCTGTTAGCGAGTAGCACCTATGAAGGCCGGCACGGCACACGAGTCGGGGGTGGGTGGCCAGCACCACGCCTAGCCGCCTTTGTCTCCCCAGTGGCGATTATTATAACAAACCGCACCAGCTACTCATTTGCTACTGGGTCAACCTAGAGGAGGCCCAGGACCGGTTCGGATAATCGTCATTGGCGTTGGCCGTGAGCGCGAATCGAACTCGGGTCTCCGGGTTCGTAGCGCAGCGTAGCGCTAACCGCTAAACTACCGCTCCCCATACATAGTACACACACGCACTCACAAGCACACACACGCACTCACAAGCACACACACGCTGCGTTTGCCCACACTCCCCAGGTGCTGGCACACACACACCCCTTGATCCCCCTACCCTCGCCGCCACAGTCTTCCGAGAAATGCCAGCAAACCTGTGCGTCGGGTTTTCTCTAAGCTCCGACCAACGCGACTGGCGACCTCACTCACAGCTGGGAATGCTCCCCTCGCCGCCTCGTACAAGTGGGGGGGGGGGGGGGGCTTAGTGGGGCCAGAAACAGCCACGACCTGGTCCGTACGTCGAGAGAGGATCGTGATGACAACAGCGATACATGTGTCATGTTACTAAATCCAAGAATGCTGTGGGTGTGTGTGTGTGTATATAGATGGGTGTGTATATAGGTGCGTGTGTGTGTATATCGATGTGTGTGTGTATATCGATGTGTGTATGTAGATGTGTGTGTATGTAGATGTGTGTGTATGTAGATGTGTGTGTGTATATAGATGCATGTGTGTATATAGATGTGTGTGTGTATAGATGTGTGTGTATATCGATGTGTGTGTGCATATAGATGTGTGTATGTGGATGTGTGTGTATGTAGATGTGTGTGTATGTAGATGTGTGTGTGTATATAGATGTGTGTGTGTGTATATAGATGTGTGTGTGTATATAGATGTGTGTGTGTATATAGATGCATGTGTGTGTATATCGATGTGTGTGTATGTAGATGTGTGTGTGTATGTAGATGTGTGTGTATATAGATGTGTGTGTGTATGTAGATGTGTGTGTGTGTAGATGTGTGTGTGTGTATATCGATGTGTGTGTTGTCAAGGTACAGGTGCAGCCCTGCAATTGCCCGCTCATACCACTGCTGCCTCCAGTCGCACGGCGACATGGTCACGTCTCTGGTGGGATAGATGACGATGTTGGTGGTTGTGGTGATCATGGTGGTGGTGGTGATAATTATGGTGGTGGTGATAATGGTGGTAGTGGTGGTAATGGCTTGCCGATTACTGCTACCAGCGGTGTCAAAATCGGCCTCTGTGGAGGAGGCTCGTGAAGGACGCCACTGGACAGTTGGAGGCAGTCGCCCTCCAACGACAACGGAGAGCGGAGGAGCGACGCTCACAACAACGAGCAGAGCGCCGGGCGCTAAAATACATTACGTTAGCGCTGTAGGGGCACAGCCGGTGTATCTGCCAGTCGTCTCAGTCAGTAAACCCATGGCATCTGGGGCTGACAGCGAGCCTTCGACACATCACGTGGCCTCAAAATGTACCCGGCCTGGCACAGGCAACTATTGTGACGTCACCGTCACTTAGTGGCGAATATTGGTATTTGGTGATAACGATGGTGGTGGTGATAATGATGGTGGTGGTTGATGGTGGTGGTGGTTGATGGTGGTGATGGTAGGAATGGTGGTGATGGTAGAAGTGGTGGTGGTGGTGGTATTGGGTGAGCTTGAGAAAAGAGACGATGATGGTGATGGGAGAAGGAAATTCCAAACTTGGAGCAGTGCGAGGGACGAAACAGAAAGATGTGACCTGCAGTGTGGTGAGTGGGTGGTTGAGTGGGTGGTTGAGTGAGTGGGTGGGTGAGTGGGTGGTTGAGTGATTGGGTGGGTGAGTGGGTGGTTGAGTGAGTGAGTGGGTGGTTGAGTGAGTGGGTGGGTGAGTGGGTGGTTGAGTGAGTGGGTGGGTGAGTGGGTGGTTGAGTGGGTGGTTGAGTGAGTGGATGAGTTGTTGTTGTATTCTGCAGTGTGGTGAGTGGGTGGTTGAGTGAGTGGGTGGGTGAGTTGTTGTGACGTGCAATGTGGTGATTGGGTTGTTGAGTGAGTGGGTGGGTGAGTGAGTGGGCGATTGAGTGGGTGGGAGGTTGAGTGGGTGCATGGTTGTGTGAGTGGCTGAGTGAGTTGTTGTGACGTGCAGTGTGGTTGAGTGAGTGGGTGGGTGAGTGAGTAGTGGTTGAGTGGGTGAGTGGATGAGTAGGTGGGTGGTTGAGTGGGTGGTTGAGTGGGTGGGTGGATGAGTGGGTTGTTGTGACGTGCAGTCCGCTCATCTTCATCACTAGAAACACTTAATCTGCGAACGTGGCTATGTTCTTCCTCCCCGTGTCCTCCTGCCCCCACGGCCTTGTGTTTACCTGCCACGCCAATGCCTGGCTCTGTATACACGGTCACCACTTATGTAATTTCCTTACCAGACATAACCCCCCCACCGTCCCCAGCTCGCGCAATTAGCCACGAGCGATGAGTGAATGTGACACGGGCAGGCTGCGTGAGTGCGAGCTCACGAGGAATGCGCCAGAGGGGGCATGCCACGGACAGGATCGGTACGCACGGAACACTCGTAGCGACAACAGCAGCAACAACAGCAGCGACAACAACGCCGACGATGCCGATGTGCGGAGCAGTGTCAATCCCATTCCCCCGCCACCTCCTCCCACGAATCTTGCGATCCACCACTCCAGCACCCCGGCACACGAACTGATGCCGCCGCCGCCGCGCTCCATCTCCTCGCCAGTGGTTGCCCTCTAGGACGCGTTCCACGCCCTGGCTGCCGCTCCGTTGTCAGTCTCGACCATTGAGATGGGGGCGGCTGGGGGGGGTGATGGAGGCCATCGAGACACGACTACAGTGGGACGGGCAGACGGAGACAAAGAGAAAGAGAAGCGGGATAGGTGACAAATATAAATTCTTAATGTAATAATGAATATTGTATGAAGTCCTTGTGGGCCAGAAACTCGTGGATGCCCATGCTTGCAGTGTGGTGGTCAGCACGCCGGTATCGCAGTGCCGAGGTCACCAGTTCGATTTCCCGGCGCGGCAGTTTCCCCTGCCACTTGCCTCTGTCCACGCAGCAGCATGAGCGGGCCGCACCGTTTAGTTGACGTGGTGGGGTGAAGGGCGGGCTCCCTCCCACCGCTTTCCAAGACGTCTGGCCAGCGATGGAAGAGTCGGGCACAATACACCTCTAGAGGGGGGCTGCGGGGGGGGGGGTGCCGGTTTAAACGAGGGCAGGGAAGTGTCAACCCGGTCGTGGCTGGTTCGCGCGGGGAATGACTCCGCTCGTCGCGGAGCGGTGCTGTCTCTGCCTGTAAACAGATCACTTGGTGCTGCTGCTGCTGCGTTGGCAGTGGTGTAACAAACACAAACAGCAACAACTAGACACGTTCCTCAATAGCCGCGTGTGGGTGTGTGTGGTCTGCCTTGAACATATCGCCGACCAAAGTTTTAAAAGCCAACATTCAAAGTGATGCTCTGCTCACACGAGCGATGAGGAGGTATTGCTGCTCGTCTCCTGTTCGCAGCCCTGCAAAGCCCAGTTGTGAAAGCAGGAGGGGGGGGGGAGTCTATCCACGTGACTTCCCCCACAAAGTGTTATAAATTTTATCAACCCCCAAAGGAATGATGATAGGCAGAGTCGACCCTCCCCCTACATTGTTCCGGCAGCGTTGGACCCAGTGACAGTGACTCTTGCATTAGGCCAAAAATGTTTGCTATTTTTCAGAGCGCGGTTTAAGAATGCGCACCTGGACAGCCACATCGAGTGGAACAACATCTGAAGGGATAACGCTCAAGATGCCATCATCAAGGCCCGAAGGCGATAACGACGCCACACCTAGCCAATGCATTCTACCTCGTATATTTCAGAGCGACGGCTGAGGAATGTCCATACCGCATCTGCAACCATAGGATAGACCCACACTATAAATATCGCGGCCCAAGTATTCTCCGTGTCAAACACGGGTGTCGAAGACTCCACGTTGCTGTGTATTGAGTTGTTGAGACAAGCTGGGCCAGGACTGGGCCAGGGTTGCACCAGGGATAAGTCAGGTTTGGGCCAGGTTTGGGCCAGGTTTGGGCCAGGTTTGGGCCAAGTTTGGGCCAGGTTTGGGCCAGGTTTGGACCAGGTTTGGGCCAGGTTTGGGCCAGGTTTGGGCCAGGTTTGGGCCAAGTTTGGGCCAGGTTTGGGCCAGGTTTGGGCCAGGTTTGGGCCAGGTTTGGGCCAAGTTTGGGCCAGGTTTGGGCCAGGGTTGGGCCAGGTTTGGGCCAGGTTTGGGCCAGGTTTGGGCCAGGGCTGGGCCAGGTTTGGGCCAGGTTTGGGCCAGGGCTGGGCCAGGTTTGGGCCAGGGCTGGGCCAGGTTTGGGCCAAGTTTGGGCCAGGTTTGGGCCAGGGTTGGGCCAGGTTTGGGCCAGGGCTGGGCCAGGTTTGGGCCAGGTTTGGGCCAGGGCTGGGCCAGGTTTGGGCCAGGTTTGGGCCCGGTTTGGGCCAGGGCTGGGCCAGGGCACGGCTCCACCACTTTTCACCGAAGAAACCGGAGAGCACGGACTTACATATTTATTGACATGTCGCTATAACAAACAATTACATGTTTTCACGAACGCCCGATTTAAATACAAATAAATCAAAATTTTTATAGGAATTGCAATAGCATTGTTTTGAATTTCGATTTAAAGCGTTCGTGACTGCAGGGATTCATATTCTTGGTTCTTTCGGTAAAGTCACTTAGAAGGGAAATAATAAAATAAAACATAATAAAATAAAATTCTCACGACGTTTCGGCCACAACGCAAGCAGCCGTCCTCAGGTGAAGAAACAGAGCTGTCGGAAAGACAGCGTTCTAATGAACGCTGCTAGCTTGGCAGCGTATTTTAAGCTGGGTGGGAGGACGAGAGCGCCTTGACAAAGGAGTTTTCATATCAACAGAGGAATTTAGAATATTGATGCCAAATGCAGATATGAGATTAGTCACTCCTTGTGGAATGTGTAGGCGATGGGGGGTCTCATTGTTTTGGTCACGTAACATCTTTGTAATGATTCTCCTGCTATCTGTTCTGTGTGGTTGTCCATACGCATGCGTTGATTGGCAGCACTCGCGACTGATTGTGGGTGGATTCAGTGGTGAACAATAACTCACAGTAGTGCGATTGTGACCAGGCAACCCAAACTATGGGCCACATAGTAAACCCATAGAAAGAGAGAGAGATACCCATAAAGACCCATAGAGATACAATTATACTCACAGACATACATTTAGACCCATAGA